GTGTTATGCAGAGTATCCATCTGAACACTCGGAACTAACTCACACAATCACACGCTACCACGTATGGAAAGAACCCGTCGACGCAGCTGCTTGGGAATTCTCAAACAAAAGTCCCGTTGACAACGTTTGGGCAGAGTTCGTTAATAAGCTCAGCGACATCGTCAACAAAGCATCAGAGACCAAACCCCTTCATCCCGCGAAAATGCCTTCAATTATAAGGAGTAGGACTCGCAAATGCCTGGCGATAAGGGATGCAGCATGGCGTGCCTACAAGATTAACCCCAACCCAGAGACTTGGGGAAATTTCCTGGCCCATCGCAACCATTGCACTGCACTTGTCCGTGAGGACAAAGTAACTTATCAACAGTGCCTCGCCAAAAAGTTCATGGCAAAGAACAAACTGCTGTACAAGCATATCAATAAGCTTCGTAAAGTGAAGCATGGAATACCCCCACTATTCACGACAGGCGGTAGAGTACAAAGTGCCGAAGAAGCAGCTAATGCCCTGCGGCTGCAATATGCCCCAATTTTTGAACTCGCAACCTCTACTTGTCCCATAATATCAAGCTCATTACCGACACCTCGGTTTACAAATGTTATTTTCAACCCATCAATTGTGCTAAGGAAGTTACTCTCACTGCGTGAACCTAGTTCTCCGGGAACAGACAACATCCGCCCGAAGGCACTGAAGGCTACGGCCACCAAGCTAGCTGAACCACTGTCACAGTTCTTTCAAAGGTGCTTTGATGAGCAACAAGTCCCCAATATGTGGAAGTGTGGCATTATAACCCTTATTTTTAAAGGCGGTAGCCGTTCCGATCCTGCAAACTATCGTCCAGTGACTCTCCTCCCTGTGCTCGCGAAGGTGATGGAAGCAGTTGTCGCTGAGGCTTTAATGGACCACCTGGAAAAATGCAACATCTTGGTACCGGAACAGCATGGCTTCCGTCAACACCGGTCATGCACCACCAACCTACTGATTGCACGAGGTAGTTGGACGCAAATGGCCGATGATGGGGTCGGAGTCGATGTCATCTATCTGGACTTCTCCAAAGCTTTCGACCGCCTTGATCACCGCATTCTACTTCAAAGTCTACAAAGTTACGGAATCGGAGATCCTGTACTTGGTTGGATTGGCAACTTCCTTTACCAACGAAAGCTCCAAGTACGTGTTAGGGGACCACTTTCTAACCCAACTGAGGTGGAATGTGGTGTCCCACAAGGCTCAGTGCTGGGACCGCGTTTATTCCTGGTGTTTATCAACGACCTGGCAAGAGTCATCTCCTCAAACTTCCTGCTTTTTGCCGATGACGTCAAGATATGGCGGGCGATTAGTAACAAGGCAGATCAGGATCTGCTCCAACATGACCTAGATTGCATTTACGAATGGTCAAAGAGGAACAAGCTTCAATTGAACATGGCTAAGTGCAAAGTGATGCATCTGCGTCACCAGCCGGTGAGCGCTTACAAGATTGGAGACCACACCTTGGCGAAGGTTTCTCAGGAGCGGGACCTGGGTGTATTGGTACAGGAAGATCTCGGGTGTTCCAAACAAGCAGAGAAGGCGACGAGAACCGGCAATCAACACTTCGGCCTTCTTCGCAGAGCCTTCGGTCGGTTTGAACCATCAATATTTCCCCAAACGCTTAACGCCTACGTGCGATCGCACGTGGAATATGCTATTCAGGCGTGGCAGCCGTGGCAGAAACAGGATCTCGTTACTCTCGAGACTCCTCAACGACGGGCAACCAAGAACGTCAAGGGCCTCTTTCATCTGCCCTATCAGCTTAGACTGAAATCTCTAAGAATGTACAGCAGTCGATATCGGCTTTTGCGGGGGGATCTCATAATGGTTTACCAGATTCTGAAGAACCCAAACCACATTTGCCGTCCGCTGCTGGAATTGAACCCCAACATTAAACTAAGAGGTCACCCTCTGAAACTGACAATTCATTATAGCCGGCTTGAATGCCGCAACAATTTCTTTTCTCTCCGCGTGTGTGAGCCTTGGAATGCCCTCCCTAATTATGTCGTCTCTGCTCCCAATTTGGCGATATTTAAAAAACGTGTTGACGAAGCATTGTCTCATTTACATTTCATTTTATGACTTGTTAGCCAGGGGCTACAAAACGCAATCAAACGGTTTCTTGCCAAACGCCTGACCATTGGATTTATGGATTTATACGTTTAATATGCGAACATCTCCGCTATTTCACATAAGTCTATGGTGAGTCCACCACAACGCTTTTCACTTTATTATGCAATTGATTTTCGCAATAATTTCCATCCCACGGGACTTGTTAAGCGATGCTTTTTTACCCGTAATAAACCATTGTCCATTGTACACATCTACGTTCGGCGCCGTTCCATCCTCAATTCAGTGTGTAAGCGGAACGCCTGATAATACGTTTAGACGGGTACTATCGAAAATGAGGGTGAAGGGATGTCGGAAGTGGAGAGTTTCGGAATTGCGGTTACAGTGATCGAAATGGCACAGTTTTGCTTCAAAGAAAAACGGTGGCCTCAATGGAGATTGGGTGTCGCAATCAAGACACACGGCGGGTACTCCAAGAAGCAACACTGACGTTGAAAGTCTCTCTACTGATCAATCAAAAAGCCTCGAGCATAAAACCAATTGTTATAAGCAAATTCGCTAGTGGAAGGAAAATACCAAATTCAACATTCTGTGCTGACTTCGAGGTGTGTAACTTAACAAGACAGGAAATTCGGTCATGAACAACTAGGCAAATATGTTGATTTTACACAGACAAAATATCTTGGATACGAAGTCTCACGGAAAACCACAACGGACGATAGGCTCAATTCGGAGCACAAGTGGGTACTTTGAATTTGACCAGACGGACCAATGAGTTGCAATCAAGCTATATTTAGACGCAGCAAGGAATAATAGCTATCGTTTGAAAAAATGGACACTTTAGATATATACCTTGGAAAGAAGCAAAGATGAAATATATCTTGTAGTTGGTACAAAAGAAACGAGCTTGCAACTGCAACAACGGATCGATTGGATAAGGAAATTCGTGGTCAGAATGGAGTTAAAATCAAGAAATCGTGTGTCAATTACAAAAGGGAAAATATTAAGAGACGCCGCTCAAGTCAATTCATGGTATTTTCCACATTAAAAGTTTGGATCATTAAGCTTGAAGCTGGCTGGTCAGGGTCAATCAATGGAAGTACACGGCCGCCAGGTGCAACCAATGGAGACAGACGGAAGGCTTTAGCAATTTCTGTTAACAGGAAAATATGCGATGAGATAGTTATACACTAAATGCCATTTAAGTTGAATGCAATTCTGTATCTTTCGCGCCGTTATTGAAACGTACTGGCAACATATACGTCATCATAAATGTCTGCAGCTGGGGTACTTAGTTGGATTGCCATTGAACCTGACTACACGATTTCATACGTGCTTGCCCGCCTTTCCATGCTTGGCACGTACATAATTGTGGGAGCTTCATGTGAGCATTGTGTTTGAGAGGGATATCGAAATTCTAACATACCGCAACTGGAGTCATCGCGCCACATGGATGTTTAATTGTACACAGAACCACTTAGGAAGGGCTTCACAGAAACAGTATGCAATATCCTGGGACTGTGTCAAATCTCCAAGATAGCTGCAAAGCAGTCTTTCTGGAAAATGAGAAAGACAGCTACTATCAACATGAGAAGTAAGTATATGTTTCATTCAGACACGTAAATCCATATATGCGTGCGTGAACTGTGGTCGCTGATAGCCCTCGTTAAGGATACGGAGATAACCTCGTAAACCTAGGTATCGCCCGCGTCTAAGAGTAACAGAACTGCCGTCCTCGATTAATCATTTCACTTAGGCCACCTTAAGGCATCAACTGAGCTAAGGTGGATGCACATACACAAGTTGTCAAACACCGAAGAAAGGTAACAAACAAGGCAAGAAATTCCATGAGAGATTTGAAATGGATAGATGCTTACTGCATCTATGTACACTGCTCAATCAAATCAGCAGCAACAAGTACAGACATACAATGGTGCTGCGGAGGTAGAGGAAGTTGAAAAGCGCGCGGCGAAAGGACTTTACATGGTTTCGTTAAGGCTAAGGCATTCAGCAAAGTGGAAAAATAAAAAAAGTTCGCTTCAGTGTGGTGATACAATAAGCTGGAAGTCAGCCTGAACCAAATGTCAAAGTCAACTTGACGAAAAATGTATGCGGTCATACTGATTGGGTGGTATGTTAGGGACGCGAGTTCACACAGAACAAAATCGCACAATGATTGAAGAAGGCGCTGCAATTATGGATGAAAAGAGTTCCATACGCAAAGCCACAGCGAGGGGAACAAAGAGCGTTGCTGCTATGACCGTTTAGCAGGTACAAAGGATGAAGTGTATTGTTCCTTCACATTCCTTTTTTCAGACGAATGGAGCGGTGATATAGAGCCTATGATTTAAAAGAAAAAGTGGAAAGTGAGTCCATGTGTAAAACGCGGTGCAGAAGAAAGTGATATAAAGTGAGCCAAAAAACAGGCAGCCGTGAAGATATAGAGAGGTGGATAAACATCATTAATCATTCATTCTTTCTATGTAGGATTGGCTGCATCCGATCCCGGATTTGCCTGTCACTGCGGCCTCCATAGGATGCCTTCGCCTACAGAGACTACGGCTGGCTTGTGCTGCACCATTCACAGCCCCAAATCCAATGTAAAACTGGAAGGAATAACACCATGAGGCATGTAGATTGGAGCCAGATTTCATAAACAGAGCCGGCCTACACTCTGTTAACATGCACAGTATTCCTGTCTAATTGAGGAATTATGCACACCAGATGTATACAAGACGATGCCTGGGCCGCAGCCCGCTCCACACTGGATGGAACCCACTCTGAGACTAGCACAGTCACGAAGATCGTGTGCCGTCTCCCCCAAGCAACGACCAACAGTCTCCTGGAGGCAGTATAATTGATGTAGCGGCATTTCGACATTTAGACATCTTATCAACATTCACACCAAGCGAAGCCAGGCTTTGCATATGACACGGGAGAGAGGGTTGATGTCAAGCGCGCGTCCGACACAGTCAGTCCAGTTTAGACCAACTGATACGGCAAAGCGTATTTGCATCGTCAGACTGTCTTTGAAACAGTACAATGGCCCAGCGGATCTTGTATAATCACATGTATTTTTCCACACTCGTGTGCGAACCACCAAAAACTGAATGGAAAAACATGAACCCAACGGACAATCATAATAGAAACGTGCTTCGGTTGGGAATACAAGTACAACAGCGGCCATATTCGTTGTTTTTGGAGATCGCACCCGTAACAATAGGTACCCGATAAGAGTCCTTCTATCGGAATAGTGAACGGTACCTGTGTCCCACCTGGCACACGAACCGACGTTCTTTAGATTCCCGCCAAGTGTCATGAACTGATTTGGTTCCACGCAACGCACAAATCATTGGGTGAAGTCCCCTAGTATTTTGCACGATCGTCAGTCAGCACATTGCTCTGTGTCAACGAGTGCAGCTCAAGCACAATACTGCGCTGGATTATAAGTACTACGCAATATATATATATATATACAGCATGAAATTATTTGTAGTTGTGTGGTTCATGACTGAAGTGATAAACTGACACGGCGTCCGCACCTGAACAAAAATACAAATCGGGTCTTCAGCCAATGCCTTCGATCCCCCCGAAATGCAGCGGCAAATGCGTCATGAGTCTGTTGACTCTCACGGATACGCTGACTCTTAGCTCAAAGAAGGGTGTAACACATCTCCCAGCTAGCGGTTACCAGCATGCGTCTAGGACATGAGTCCATGGCTGAACTAGGACAGCAGCGGGCCAACTTTGTGTCCAGATCTCTGCACCACCAGCCTATATATATATATATATATATATATATATATATATATATATATATATATATATATATATCCAGTCGATTCCGGTTAATAGGACCAGCCGCTTATTCGGGCCAAATTCTGAAGAACTGAAACGAATCCTATAACCCTAGCCTAACTTTAGCCGCTTATTAGGACCGGAATTCCGCTTAATCGGACCTGACGATAGAAGGTATAATATAGAAGGCATTATATATATATATTTATATTTATATATATAGGCTGGTGGTGCAGAGATCTGGACACAAAGTTGGCCCGCTGCTGTCCTAGTTCAGCCATGGACTCATGTCCTAGACGCATGCTGGTAACCGCTAGCTGGGAGATGTGTTACACCCTTCTTTGAGCTAAGAGTCAGCGTATCCGTGAGAGTCAACAGACTCATGACGCATTTGCCGCTGCATTTCGGGGGTATATCTGATCGAAGGCATTGGCTGAAGACCCAATTTGTGTTTTTGTTCAGGTGCGGACGCCGTGGCAGTTTATCACTTCAATCATGAACCACGCAACTACAAATAATTTCATGCTGCATCGACGGTCGCCTTGCAGTGGGGAAAATTGTCGCTTTATCAGCTGCACACAGTAGAATGGACAAGTGGAAACTATCAAACGCTAGTGTTTCTACACTTTATTCTTTTCTTTCCATTCCGCATTCTTTCCTCTCAATCCGCATTCCATCTACCCTTCACCCAGATGCTCCAATCCCAACTCCCTAACGCAGTCATAATTCTCCTCGGGAAGCGCTCAAGATCGGATGTCAAAACATACGCACCCTCCTGGGCCGGAACACGAACCAGTGCCCTATGTGACGCACTGCAATGTTCACCATAAACTCGACTGATACGGCATTGAGATTGCAGTAATGAGTGGGACTCGGTTGGCGGATGAATGCGAGCAGCACTAATATGATGCTGGCGAAACGTTCTGCTGGATAGAAAACACCACCAGAGCACCACGCGAACATGGCGTTAGATTTGCACTAGCCTACCGCCTAAATGGATACCTGTTGGATGAGCCCGCCGACATTAGACCAAGTTTGATGATCTTACGACCCGGACGGAGTAATCTTGCAACTCAGCGCGTACGGTCCTACTAGGTGTTATCCTGGTGACACAAAGGATCAGTTTGACTCTCAGTTGTCGTCGGTGATATGGTATGTACCAAGGAGCAACCAACTATTCCAACTGGGTGATTTCAACGTGCGAGTTGAATGTGATGCAGTGATGTGAACATACGTAATCGTGCTGCTTGGTATTGATTGAATCAAGAAAAATGGTGATAATCTGATCTCTGTAGCATACATGACATGGCGATCACAAACTTCTAGTTCCCACTGGGTTCGAGTGATATTGCTACTTGAACATACCAACAGATTGGTCAAACTCAGCTGCTCGAGTGTCATCGTACGTCGGCATGACATGCGTGAAGGGTGCACGACACGCGTACTGCGTGTAGCTGAACGTAGAACTGGTCACTACTAGGTACAGACTAAACTGTGCATATATCTTCGTAAAACTATGCATGGTTCGGCTGCGGTGAATTGGTGGTGATTTAATGCTCATTCTCTAGGTAATGTTAAGTGTAACGAATAAGAGAGTGCGATGGCGATCCGCTTTGGCGACGTTGATACCTAAGGCACGACCCGGAGGAACAGGTGAAGGTTGCGAGAAAAAGACTGGGCGCGCAAACTGTAAGCGGACCGATTGGTTTGATGACAACAGTGCACCCAGTGGCTTACTGGTGTCAGAGAAAATGCGGTATTTGCTGCACATGTGGAGGATCTCGGCCACTCAGAGAAGTTATCGCATAATGAGTCGGCGACTGACCCAGGGGCTCTATTGCAACAAAAATGCATATTGGAAGGAGAAAGTGGAACAGAGAGAACGCTACCCCGAATGATGTCAATATAAGGAATTCTAGAACTCCTTGAAAGCAGTGTATGGACCCAGCTTGCAGCCAATGAGAACGCTGGTGGACACGGCTGCACGCGATACCTGCAAGGTCATAAGATATTACGAAGGTGTGGTGTAATCACTTCGACTGTCTTCTGAACAACCGCACGGAGACTGACTGATATACATCGCATGGGCTGAAACAAGATAAGAGGGAACTTGCTGACACTCCATGAAACATAGAGAGCAGTCGCTCAGCTGAGAAACGGAAAGTGCACCGGTGACGATTTGATACTGCCAGAAGTGCTGAAGCATGGCGGACCTGCAGTGATTAATGCGTTGGATAAGTTTATGGAACGCGTTGATTTGAAGAACCGGTGTACGTTGAGCTGAAAGATACCTTGGTACAACCACTGTGAAAGGGAAAAATACTAAGCAGTTAGGAAGTAGTAGGGGGATTTACTGTATTTTTTGGGAATAGCAGATTACAGGTCATCTCGATTGGTAGCGGCTTGCGAAGAATGTCGTTGCTCTGGGGGCCATCCATGTGCTCTGCACTTTCATGACATGTATGACAATGGATGATGAGCCACGTCATATCCCAGTTAGATATCAGTCATGATGGTTGTTAGGGCCCAACGGTCAGTGTCGCAATCCAGTACAAACACAAGCAGCCACTGTAAAACCACAAAGGAACACACCTCAGCTCATGAACGGATCATAGATTCGGCCCCCAATCAATAGCCTCTAACCCATTAAGGTAGAAGATAGGATCTCTGAATGAGATCTATTATTCAGTTGGTGGTTTGAATGCTCGCTGAGCTCGGCAGCTTGACTGCAAACGTTTCATCACCACCCGAAGTGACATCGTCAGTACGCGTTTATTTAGCAGAGCGGCGCGATACGAAGCGTCAGTGAGATTTATTAGGATGATAACTCAGGCACTATCAATGAAACACTCGTGGGTATTCTAAGGTATACCAATGGAGTTGTGAGATAGGACAATCACATTCCGCGGCAGAGGTGGGAACAGATTTGCGCGTGCCGTTTCACAATCAAAATGACGGCTAATGGTGAATCCGAATTTGGGTTGTTTCCAGTGATACTCACGGGAAATCCGGTGTTTTCCCAACAGCGGTCTGTCGCCTTCACCCATGGCTCGTAAGAGCAGAGTCGTGTGTACAAATCCGACAGGATTGGGAGGATACGCGCTACTGACGAGTCCCGATAGGATGACGCGGCCGTCTAGCGCCTTCCTGTTTGGCTGTCTGACTGAGTTTAGCTGAGACGAACCTACTAGAGGAACTAAGTCAAGTGTCAAAAACTTTCGTGATAGCAACCTGCTGGGTAGAGTCGCATTCTGCTCAACTGCGTCACAAGTCCTAGAGCCAAACGTTGCTGAAGAGCAGTGTAGATTCGTTCCGGGCCACAATACGATAGATATGTTGTTCGCGGCTCGTCAATTGCAGAAGTAAGGGGAGTAAAAGCAACCAATGTGTTCATCGATTTCACCAAGGTACCCGACACGGAGAACCGTGGGGGATTGAAAAGATACCACAATGAGCATGATGGCGAATTGAACCGGCGATATGAGCGAATCTGAAGCCAAGAGCTTGAAAATAGATCGATGGTAATGGTAATTATACATACAGGCTGGACTGATAGTACAGTTGATTTGCACAGATTTGAGCAAACCTTGAGAGCTGGCTAAGAAAGTAATAGCAAGAAAGAACACACCAAATTGTGAGTGGTCCAAATTAATGCGAGATATCATAATTTGATCGCTGAAGGCCACCGCCTACTCCTGGAGTATCGCCATCTCTGCCGCAGACCCACCATCGTCACTTTCCTGGATACTGTGTGCCTTATGGAACTGCCTGCTGAAGAATGGAGTTTCGGAAAAGTATGTTGCTACACATCGCGTGCTATACATCCATATTTCAAGTCGACTGAGAGCCGATGGCACGCTTCACCCACACTTACCTGTCACCAGTGGCGTACGATAGGGATGCCCAATGTCACCGTTTCTCTTCAACTTTGGAATCGGAGATGTCCGTTCGGGCGCTTTAAATGGCCAGCAGAACTACGGTATGGGGCTCTCACAAGTAAACGCGCGACCGACTTAGACTACGCTGATGATATCGCCGTATTCGGTGACGACCCTCTTGGGTTGCAATCGATCAGTAACCAATTGGGAAATGAAGTGTCTACGCTTTGAACCATCTAAATGCAAAGTTCTTTAACCTGACTGGCAAGCACCCCTACGATAATACACCATCGAAGGCACACAGCCCGAACACGTAGATAGTTTTATCTACCTAGGGAGCTGCGTTTCTGCCGACAGCACGATCGGAACACAGGTATGCAGTCGTATCGCTAAAGCCCGGTTGGCGTTTGCCAACTTAAGACTTTTGTGGTTTGTTGTGTACAAGTTATTAATCACTAGTACAAAGTCAACGGTTTCTGAATGGCTTTATGTCTACTTTATAGAGTGTTGCAATACATATGGCTTTCGGTATCCGGTTTCGGATTTGCCTGCCACTGTGACCAGCCACAGGACGCCTGCGCCTACAGAGGACCATGAGTGGCTTGCGCTGTACCACCCACAGCTCCATCCACACCCCGATATC